AAAATCTCAATTCAAAATATAACAAAAGTTTTAGAATCTCGGTCTTTATATTGTGCCTTTATAAAAAATATTGAACGCTAAAAATATTATTTAAATTGCATAATCAATCAATTAATCTTATTTTTTTGAAAATTACTATGTTTATTTTTTATTATTATGCATAAAGTACAAATAATTAATTCATCTTTAGGTATATAATTTATAATCTTAATATACCATCATTTGGTGTAGACATTTATTATATGAGTCATAAAATATTTTTATTTAATAAAATTAAATATATGTAAAGAAAATAAGAAAATTTTTTCAGATCAATGGCGTGATTGAATTAGGGTACTGCCCAGGTTAATTGAATTACTTTTAGGTGATATTTAAAATAGTCAAAAAAATTGACACAACTTGGTTGGTCCCAGGTGACTAAGTTATGTATCAGTTCGACCACACAAAATCTATTTTTGAACCTAAATATAAATTTTATATTGAAAATATTTTATAACGTAAATGTAATGTAGTTCAAACTTCAAATAGTTGTATTAACAATACTTTTATGACAACATGCTTAATGATTTATGAATATTTATATATCATTTTATTAATATTTATGTGAATTAAATAATATTTCATTATAATATTTATTAATGTACATTAAATATAAGGTTTTCAAAACTGGACCGTCATCGAAACGATCAAGATATTTTATTAAATCATTTGTGGTTTATTCAGATTTTAATTTGTAAACATTTTATTATATATGTATATATATAGTACTTTTTGTACTAAATTTAAATAAAATGTGTTACTTAAATGTCTACACAATTTATAAATTCAAATGTTTAAACTAATTGATAAATAATTTATAAATCTCTATTTTATTTAAATATGTAATTTTATTTAAAATAATTTTAAATATAACAAAATTTATTTAGAAAATCGTATCGATCCTACCAGTCCAACCGACTGGTGTTGACGTATTTGAGAGCAAATATTTTATTCAAGCGAACTAAACTGGTTATAAACCAGTTCTCGGTCCATCCGGTAGATTGTGTCCAATCCGGTTTAATTTAAAAACAATGGATAAATCATTATTAATATTATTTATATATTAAATTTATAATACAATCGTAATATTGTTTTCCCGTGCATCGCACGGGCCACACACTAGTAATAAATATATATAGGATGCTTATAATTTTCAATTTTATACGTGATATGTGCTGAAGAGCATATTTGAAGGAATAATGTGCTACATATAAGGGATTTTGTTTCTTCAATATGCCCAAATTTATATTGCTATCATCATTTTGAAATTTTGAATTTCAATATAAATCCGTGCAAAACATCTCTTAATAAATAAATTAGATTTACTTTAAAATAAATCAAATTTGAAAAGTCGGATTTTGATTTTTTAATATAAATAAGTGTTGCCTAATATTTAATGATATACTATTCTTATTTTGTGCAGGTTTCAAATGCAATTCCAAGGTATCCGTGTTATAAAATAGCAACATCCGGATGGAAATTTTAACATTCCGATTTGTATTTTTTATTATAAAATAACTACTGTCAAATATTTAATGCTATAGGATTCTTAGTTTGTGGTGGATTCAAATGCGAGATTTAATGCGAATTCTTAATTTGTGAAGGATGCAAATGCGAATTCTGTGATATCCGAGCCACGAGATAACAACATCCTAAACAATTGGACAACATTAAATGCATGTTTACCGTGTTTTTTTTTTTTAAATTGCCATTAGTGGCAAGTAATTAATGCAAAATGGTTTGACTGCAAATTTGACTTACTATTTTTAAAAAATAGTAATTCTTATCTATATATATAATAAGAATTAAAATTTACCAAAAATAGTAGCAAAAAAATAGGTCAGAATTTAATGCAGTCTATAAATAGTAAGTTTTATTATTTTTTTTATTTTTTCTTTAAAATTCATACAGCATTAAATGCTACCTTAAATTTCGGGGTATAGTTCATTTTATTATTGAAAAAATCCGGCTAAGATTTATTAGGTGTGTATGTTTTTATTTTTATTTTTTTCTTAAAAACAACGAACAAAATTAAAATCTCGGTCTCTATATTCATAAAATCTCAATTCAAAATATAACACAAGTTTTAGAATCTCGGTCTTTATATTTGTGCCTTTAAAAAGAATTGAAAGCTAAAAATATTCTTTAAATTGCATAATCAATCAATTCATCTTAATTTTTTGAAAATTACTATGTTTATTTTTCATTAATATGCATAAAGCAAAAATAATTAATTCATCTTAAGATATATAATTTATAATCTTAATATACTATCAGTTGGTGTAGACATTTATTATATGAATCATAAAGTTAAATATATTTAAAGAAAATAAGAAAATTTCTTCAGATCAATCAGGTGATTGAATTAGGGTACTGACCAGGTTGATTGAATTGCTTTCAGGTAATATTTAAAATAGTCAAAAAACTTGACACAACTTGGTTGGCTTGGTTGGTCCCAAGTGACTAAGTTATGAATCAGTTCGATCACACCAAATCGATTATTGAACCTAAATATAAATTTTATATTGAAAATATTTTATTACGTGAATGTGATGTAGTCCAAATTTCAAATAATCGTATTAAAAATACTTTTATGACAACATGTTTAATGATTTGTGAATATTTATATATCATTTTATTAATATTTATGTGAAAAAAAATATTTTATTATAATATTTATTAATGTACATTAAATATAAGGTTCTCAGAACTGGACCGTCATCGAAACGATCAAGCTATTTTATTAAATCATTTGTGGTTTGTTCAGATTTTAATTTATAAATATTTTAATATATATATATATATATATAGTATTTTTTGTAATAAATTTAAAAAAAATGTGTTACTTAGATATTTAAAAAATTTATAAATTCAAATGTTTAAACTAATTGATAAATAATTTATAAATCTCTATTTTATTTAAGTATGTAATTTTATTTAAAATAATTTTAAATATAATAAAATTTATTTAAAAAATTGTGTCGATCCTACAAATCCAACCGACTGGTGTTTACGGATTCAAAAGCAAATATATTATTCAAGCGAACTAGACTGGTTATAAACGGACTGTGTCCAACCCGGTTTAATGTAAAAACAATACATATATCATGATTAATGTTATTTATATATTTAATTTATAATACAATCGTAATATTATTTTCCCGTGCATTGCACGGGCCACGCACTAGTTATATATATATATACATATAGATTAATTAATTTTTTTAATGATCGGTCAGCGCCCGATCCGCTCTAGATTCTCCGGGAAATGAGCAATTACAACCTAATCTCATCCCACTTGTTTAATTAGTTAATAAACGTGCTTTGAGTTTGGATTATAGGAATATTCTAACATTTTTATAGCAATAAAAGCACATTAACCTTTACAAGTGCTGTAATTAAGGTCAACATATCTCTTGCTTACAACCTTTCAATTGCTTATAATTTTATATTCCATATACATTCCTTGTGTAGTTGTGTTTGTCCATGTCCCAACTCAATTTATTTGCAGTATATAATACGATTATTTAAGTTCAACGTACGATTAATATTGTTGTGAGACGGATTAAGGTTTAGAGAAGTCAGTTTGATATAATTTTTATGAAAAAAAAAAAAAAATAGTTGTGTTTGACATGTACAATATAAAGTGTTCCATAACAACACTTCACCATACACTATTATTATATCCTTGGTTTTCAAATCTTGAGACTTAGATGGAAAGTTTGGAATTAAAATTGTGAAATTATTTGGCATAGAATATTACATATATGCATGGGGACTCGTGCATTCAACATTTATGGACGAATATAATTAAGGTGAAGAATAGTAGTATATGGTCATATAGTGATTCGAGTGGGGAAGGAAGGTACACATATATAGTGATCCTTAGAAGAAGATGAGAATATAGTTCATTTTAATATGTTTCAAGTTTTTTTGATTTGATTGGATTTTTTAGTTTTGTTTGATTAATTTTAAAAAGGTAGTATTGTTAGTTGTTAGTGGGTATATTAAAATAATATTTATAATAAAATATGTAAAATTGATTTAATGTAAAAGTAGGAAAGAAATGATTTGATGTGATAGTTAGTTAAAATAATGTGAATGGATGAATAGTGAATTAAGGTTGATGTTGTGTATATGAATGATTGATTGATATTATTTAATTATATTGATAATATTGATGATAGTGGGTTGAGTTAAAGTTGAGTTAAAAAAAAGTGATTAAGTTAAAATATTGAGAATTTTTTGAAAATTTTTATAAACAAACATGCTCAGAGTTGCAGAACATATTCATAACACACTTATCATCTGCATACTCTATAACCTCGTGCATCATAATATACAAGTGCTCGATTCTCGATTCCGTTCAAGTTCGTCAGAACTCAAAAGTCTGGTGTGCTACAGTCTTCGAGACGTCAGATATTTTATCTTTGGTGACGAGACGCATGAACTCATCACGAGGCGTATTCGTCTTTACTAAAAAAGCAACACTAGTATAAACTATTGTGTTTTTGCTTCAGTTTGTAATTTTGTTTTCTATTTTTAGTTTAACTTTTAAGAACTAAATCATACACTTCAGTTAGCAGGATACTCCTGTAATTGAAACACTCAATTTGAAACATAAACTACACAGGTGGGCTGACATATACAAATTGTCTACTGTTCTCTCACTGGGCCCGAATTTAGTAGGCCTTTATTGTTGTTGAGCCTTATGTTGTATATATACATGGGCTTATTTATTCTTCTACTTAGGCCTTGTTACTTCATATTAATTAGGCCTTCAATTGGGCTGTAGCGTTTTGTACGGTGTTAAGTTCCATGTTAAACCTAAAATAATTATGAATTTTAGCTTAATTAATTGTTTTCCGAGTATATTTGTTAGACGTAAATTTGATTTTATTCGAGTTAAAATGGAGATTGAGTATAATAAAACTAAGATAATTATAAAATAATGCTATTAAACGAAAAAAGTTATATATAACTGGCACAATCATCATAAAATAGGTGCAAATTGCAATATCACACAACTTATTGGTAATAGGCAAAACAAGACCAACGATACAATCGCATTTCAGTGGATGATACGCAAACATAGACTTATTTTAACAAATTCCAATGAAAAGCTGGGAAAATCAGTCATATGTTATTTAATAGGATGAAAAAAGAAAAAGTTGGTAACATATGTGTACATAATTTATTTATAATTACTATAGAATTCTTCAAATAATGGGCAAACGACCTGATATTTCCTGTTTCAATTTTGTATCTCATTTCGTGTTTTATTTTATTGGATGAATGAGACGTGGACACTATTTTGTCATATTTTATTTGTGTACATATCACTCATCCAATAAAATGAAATTAACATATTAAATATATAAATGGAACATAAGATATGATTCTCCACAAAACCACTATATTTGTATATATTTTTTTTCAACATTCCTTAAATTGTTACTCATCAGCATTTTGGGAAATCTGGTGGTGGAGGATGCATTCTAGCATTTGGACCCTTTCCATTTTTAGTAATGAATACCATCTGCATTCCCCAACTTACATGCCTTTCAATGTGGCAATGCATCAACCAAACACCTACATGATTTTGATAACTTGATAGTTAATTAATTAGCCACAAATTGAATGAAAAGAGAAAATTATTAAAAAAAAAAATCTCTAATTTCGAGCGTTAATGTTGTTACCTGGATTATTCGCTCGAAACCTGATAGCCGTCCACCCGCTTCTCGGAACCGCGATCGTGTTCCGCAGCGGCGGGTCCACGAGGTTGTAGTTCGGAGGATCCCTATCCTTATCGAAATTCCCGAAACCCCAACCAACCACGTAAAAGCTATGCCCGTGCAAGTGCATCGGGTGATCGATCCCCGCCACGGTATTCGTCCCCTGAAAAACGAGCTCGACCGTTGAATTGTACTCGAGAAGCCTCACCTCAGTACCGTTCTCCGGCCTCCAAAGGTCCACGGGCACGAAATCCGCCGTGTAGTTGAAAGTTAGAGGTGGGTCACTCGGAAAATTGTCTCCGTAAACGCCTCTTATCCGTTCGTAGTAAGCTTCGAGAATCGCAGTCCTCGGTTGTTGGAAGGTTATGTTGTTGATGCTAGCCAAGAGCCTCTCGCCCAGTGGGCCTGCGCAACTATTATTAACGCACGGCCTCAAGTTAATCGAGAGCGTGAAGAACAATATAGTCGACGCATTCAACGGCACGTCGATCGGGTGGTCTCGGCTCGCGAGGCTTCTGAGCTGTCCCGTGAAATCGGCTGACGCGCGGGTGTCGTTGATATCGGGAAGTGTGGGGAGGGACGGGGAAGGTGGGGGAGTGTAGTTTCCACTATACTCGATTATTGCGGTTATGGTCGTGTTATCGAAAGTCCCGGCCACGTTGTAAACCCTAGCGGCCATGTAGTAATGGCTAGGGTTTTGGTTGGTTTCTAACAAGAAGTCAATCGTTTGACCGGGTGATATGGCAATGTAGTCGCTCGTTAATTGCTTCGTGTAAGCACCGTCTGATCCGACAACCGTGATGTTGTGGTTGGAGATTCGGACGAACATGATGTTGTTCATGACCGCGTTGACCATTCGGATCAAGTATCTCTTGCCATAGTCAACCGTGAGTTTGAATGTGTCTGAAATAAAGAATTAATTGTTTTCATGATCATAATTTAAGGGGAAAAAAGTAATTATTTGTGTAGAGGGTCTAGGCAAAAATATTATTTTTGATTAATTCCAGTTAAGATCCAATAAAAGTTTAATATTTAATTGGTAACTATTTTTTCTTTTTTTAATCTGAAATGATATATGTTGAGGTTAGTTAGTATGTCAATTACATACAAATCAAATCTGCTCCAAGGAAGGTAGCTAATTATTTACGCCTGATACTCGATGTTATTATCAAATAAAGTAATAAAGTTAAAATAATAAAAAATGAATAAATTGCGATGATATGTCAAATGAATCGTGCAAGCAACTTGTTGTTTAGTAAATGGTGCACATACGACATAATTTTGCTATTTGTTAATTACACTTTTGCCATTACTTATTAGGTCACTAGAACTATTTTTATCACCGCGACTTTTTTTCAACAGTCCCTTTAATCCTCGTTTATACCTATTAAACTCCACTTACAAATTATTTTAGGCAAATATAATTTTCAATTCGTTGCCTAGCTAGCAAACGATGACCCGTGCTTCACAGCCTTATATGTCAACTTTGTATTTCAGAATATTATCTGTTATGATCTGTATACAGATCATACAATTTAACTATATAATCAGTTTTATTATTTTAATTAACTCTATAGACTCGAAATGTGACATGCAGGGCCACTCAACATGAATTAATTACTGCACCTTATATCATAATAGTAACTTACTAATTAATTACTTCATCAAAATCAAATGGAATTACAATAAATAAATAAATAAATAAAATAGACCTTGTCTTGAGCAGGGGTACAAATCACCCGGTTGGCCATTGATTAGAAATGCATCAGAAACATTTGGGTCCCCTCCATTTTCAAGAAATTCACTTACAACAGCCCTTATATCACTTTTCCACCATTCACCTAAAAAAAAGAAGGTAAAATCATTAGATATATCCACTAATTTGGGACAGATGGTCAATTTATTTAGTAATTTCTGCAATTTTATCAGAAATTACTCGAGTAATAAAAATCGAGCAATATGTGCCACAAAAATGTAAAAACTAAGGAAAAATAAATCCACTAAAACTAATTCAAACAAATGGCAAACCCAACCCAGCAATAACTCATGTATTTGGACATAATGTCCGTAATTTGATTAGCTGGTGGACATTTTCTTCAATCGAAAAGTAATTAAGGTTTATTTTAATCCTCTTTTTATATATATTTAGAAAATAATTATTTGTATATACCTACCTAATATGATTGGAATTTCTGCATCAGGTACAGGAAAAGGATAATCATTTTTTCTTTTAGGGAGAACAATCAGGGCACCATGCACGGTGGCTCGAGACCATTCGCTGTGCGCGTGCCACCACATAGTACCAATTTCATCTGATAACACAATCCTTTGGTTGAACATTGAACCGGGCTGAATTGGGCATTGGGTTATGTACTCGGGCCCATCGGACCACGGATATCTTGGCTGTTTCACTCCGTGCCTGAAAGATTTTGACAAAAAACAAAAAAAAAAGTACTATGAATATTATGTGTGACACATATATTAATTTGTTTGTTGGATTAGTGGCCCGGCCCGAATTACCAATGGATTGTTATGTTTTCCCGGGCCCGGTTGATGACATCAATGACAATTGTGTCCCCCTGAGTTACATATATAGTTGGGCCTGGAAATTGCCCATTGACTGTTAATATAGTCTTGTTGCTGCATAGCTTATTGTATGGAGTCTCAACCACCTGCAAATGTTTATATGAAAAAACATTCTTATTGATTAGTTTATATAATTAAAGTTTTGTGTTTTCCGAAGTCTGAAAAATTTCAGTTCAGTTATTACAAAACAGTATATGATTCAAATCAAGTTTGGTTCAATTATTACAAAATGCGTGTGAAACAATTTCAGATTTAAAGAATAATATATCATAACATATGTTTCTTGTTAATTTATAATTAACCCTTAAAAGCAAAAGCGCAAAGAATTATTGGTGAACCATGTGTTAAATATGAGCATGAAATTAACTCACAAAAATGAGTAATAATAATGACAATAACTTACCACAAAACTATGGTAATGAGTCGTAGCATGGCTAGGAACGAAGCCACCAAAGAGAAAAATTGCTAACAGCCACAACATTGCAATATTTTTCATAATTACGAGTTTCATTTTAATAAACTGTCAGACATTTTTTTCAGTGTATTTATAGGAAATTTGAGACAGCTGAAAGAGTTGAAAATCATTAAGAATAAAAGAATAAATTAAAAATGGCCTTGGTCAGAATAAAGTGTGGACTTTATATTTATCACTAATTATCTATATATTCTGTGACGGACCAATTATTCTAAGAATGACAGCCAATTTACCCGTAACTATATATCACTTTCGCTATATATATCTTGCGATCGAATTAAGTTGATTAGGCTTTGCTACAAATTTTAAATATGTTAGACAGTGAAATACTAGAATAACTATTTGTGCTCGATGTACACACGACACCGATTAATTGTTAATAAGTTTAATTAGTTCGATCTCAAAATTTGTCGTCTTTATTACCACGACTTTTCTTAATGTTGACTTCCTAACTTAATTCTGCAATCTGCTATAACAACTAATCATTGAATTTTTTTTTTTTTATTTATGATTGCTTGCACTCTAAGGCTTTTCCCCATTTACTATTTTCTAAACGTGGAAAAATCAATTGGTTCGATCACTACGCAACATATGGACTTGGCTATTTCATAAACTACGCACTATTAAAGGACTAATTGTATTAGTGATTTAATACAACTCGGTGAAGATTTTGGTCCCGTGTGTATAATGTATTTATTCACGAGCTCTATTCTAACACCCACGTACGAGTGCGACAAAATCTTTCATTATCATTTGTAATAAAGTGACGTGGAAAATACAATCTCCAAACATTAGAAATAAAAGTTTTATATGGTATAACATATTCCTTTCATCATATTAATTTGGCTCCTAAACGTTAGGCTTTTAAATTATAAAATAATTGATTAACTTAAATTAAAAATATATTAATAATTATTTACTTATTACCAGTTTTTTATATATGTTATACAAATTAATCAACTTTTAACGAATTTTGATTTGACATTTATATTCTATATATAAAATAAATAATTATATATGTCATTATAATAAAAACTAAGCTATCTTAATAGTAAATGAAAAATAATAAATTTATTTTATCGATTTAATAAATTTTTCTATAAAGTTATTAAATGATATGAGTTAAAAAAATTATTATAATATATATAAGAAGAGTAAATCGTACAAGTAACGAGTTTCGTTTAAATTTAAGTATAATTTTTTTATTAACACATTTATACTACACGATTTTTTTGAACTAGTAATGTAATTTAAGTATAATTTTTTTGTACTAGTAATGTAATTTACCGTAAAAGTCATACTTAGGGCTGCAAACGAGTTGAGCGGCTCACGAGCCGCTCGAGAGCGCTCGAGTCAGAACTTGACTCGAGCTCTAGTTTGACCGAACTCGAGTCGAGCTCGAGCAGCTCGAGTCCATAACTTGCATTTTCGAGCGGCTCGATATATACATTAAATTTCTAAAATACTCCTTACATTAAATTTGCATTTAAATAGTATAATACAAGTGCTTAATGGTAATTTCACTTAAAAAAATTTCGAGCCGAGCTCGAGCTCGTATTTTCTTATCGAGTCGAGCTTGAGCCACATAAATCGAGCTCGAGGAGCTCGAGCTCGAGCATTTGATTTCGAGTCGAGCTCGAGCTCGTATTTTCTTATCGAGTCGAGCTTGAGCCTCATAAATCGAGCTCGAGCAGCTAAGAAAAGAATTCAATCCTAATCGATAAAGCTAATGCTCGATTCGACTCGACTCGTTTGCAGCCTTAGTCTACTCTTAAATAGTGAGAGCTTGTCAATTGAGCAACTATAACATACTTATTTTACCTCTTGTGACATGATGGGCCTCATTTTGGGCCTGAATAATGTTTCAATAAATCCGATAAATACGCTTCCTTCTCGATGTATCTGGGAAAATCAATTCTTTTCAATTTGTTCCTCAATTTCCTGCAAAACATTTCCATCGAGCTACATGGTGCTACACAAAATCATAAATTTCAAGGAATGACTCCTTGTTTGATTTTATTTTTTTTTTTCAAGTCAAATATGATCATGTTGTAACAACAAATTTCGTCAATATTTATTTATGTACACATGCATTCTCCAAATCTTGTATTGTCAGATTAAATACACTCATACATGTACTCATATGAATATGAATGTGTATTGATTCAAAGGTAAAAATATTCATATCCATAGAAACGAACTTTCAATTTTTACAGAATTGATAGACATTATGCACATCTCCTTTCCCGAAATCCCCAATAATAAATTAATAATAATAATATAATAATAAGAAGAAGAAGATGAGTATTTGGGTTTTGGTAAAATTCACGTTCTTACGTAAAGTTGCCAATTTGATTGCCATCAACACGTCCATATCAGCTCAAACAAATAGAGAAAAATTACATCAATAGCAAGAATTATATCATTAAATCAATTAACCATATATCATAGTAAATCAGTAACAAGGAAATCAATATCTCGTCCGCCGGCGTAGCATCAACACGGCGGCATATCATGCGGCGGCGGTAGCACACGCTCCGTCGGTCCACTCCCACTTTCCACAATGAACACCATCTCCATTCCCCACGTCAGGTGCCTCTCAAAATGGCAATGCATAAACCACACCCCTACATATACATTAAAAACAAACTGTAAGACTATTGTTAGACGAAAATACTACAAGTACATAATAAATATATATAGAGGTGCACATAACACTCACATGGAGTGGTGTCCACTTGATTTTTTATTTTTGATAGGTCCCACACAATGTGAGTGTTATGTACACCCTTATATACAATATTATGTACCTATAGCATTTCTCTTGTTAGACAGATATATAGACATACTTTAGGCTGCCTCACCTAAGAATTTGTATAAAAAAAATTCAAAATCAATAAATTGATTTCCTCACCCGGATTGTCGGCCTTGAACCGGATCGCGGCCCACCCGTTCCTCGGCACGATTATCGTGTTGCGCTGTTGCGGGTCCACGAGGTTATAATCCTGCGGGTCCCGCTCCTCGTCGAAGTTCCCTAGCCCCCACCCGACGGCGAAGAACGTGTACCCATGCAGATGCATCGGGTGGTCGATCCCCGAGACGAGGTTCGTCCCTTGCAAAACCATCTCGATGTTCGCGCCGTACCTCACGAGTCGAGCCTCCGTGCCCCTCCTCGGGACCTGGAGCTCGAGGGGCAGCACGTCCCCCGTGTAGTTGAACACGAGCGGCGGCCGCCCGGGAAACCCTTCCCCGAAAACTCCCGACAACCGATAGTAATACGCCTCGAGCACGTCGATCGAGGGCGCCACGAAGCTTATGTTGTTCATGCTAGCCGCGAGCCGGGTCCCGTTGGGCCCGTCGCAGGTCCTGCCCGGCGGGCAGGGCCGCGTGTTGACCGAGACGGTCGACACAAGCCGCTCGCCGACCTCGGGCGGGACCGCACACGGGTGGTCCTTCGTGGCGAGGCTCCGGATGCTATAC